CTGGAAAAGGCTGGATTTGGAGGTGCCCTTCTATATGTTGATCCCTGTGATTTACCAAAGACTGCAAATCTTGACGATGACACCTTCATGGTGTCGCTGAATCCAGGAGGAGACCCTTCTACGCCTGGTTATCCAAGTGTCGGTAAGTTCCCTGATAATCTTCATTATTCTTGTGCGCATTACAAGACTGCAATGTGTAAACACATGCTACCTAAACTAAGCAAGGGATAGTAAAATCAAAGAATTCTTACCACTCCATATTTTAAAAAGCGAATTTTGTATTTTCTCAGATTACAGACTACTGATTTGTTTATATATATTAGTATATATGAGACCCGGTGCACAGATTGATTTCAGAGAGGGAGAGATAGAAACATCAATGATGAGAGAGGATCATTGATCAGCTACCTCCTGAATGCCCCACAGTGGGGATAAAGTCTGCAACCTGGGCATGTGCCCTTGACAGGAATTGAACCTGAGGCCCTTCAGCCCGCAGGTCGACGCTCTATCCACTGAGCAAAACCAGCTAGGGGTGGAATAGATATTTTTAAAAGTCTTTAATAGATTATCTGTCTTCATAAATTACAGTACCATGAACAAAGAAAAACACATTTTATATGTTATTATTGATTGACTGAGAAGAAAAATTAATACCATGTTTGATGGGCAATCCGTGTTGGTGGCAAACATGTGCACAAAATGCCTGCTGCTTTGGGATAGCTATAATAACTTTAAGTCCAGAGTCTGGGGATATATCTAGTTAAATTAGATGAATAAAGTAGTGAGAAATGATGCTGGAAAAGAGTGGAGTTAATATGATCAGTTTGTGTGGTTCCCTAAGAGAAAGGATCTCATTATTTTGGCCAGTCATGGCAGTACAGAGGGAGCCTTCTTTGCATTAAAACATCCTTCCCCTTCCCTGGAAGCTGTGTTCATGATAAAGGGGTCATGTGGCAGAGGAAAGATAACTGTGATTTTGGCAGGTGCTCATTCATCATTGAATTTTTGTCCCATGTGCCATTGACCAGTATTACATTTATACAGACTTGGCTGAGGAAAAAGCTCCTTGGACCTTTTTCCAGGGTGATACTCACCCATTAACCATGACATTTCAGCCAGTAATTAAACTACCGAAACTTTTATGCAATTATTTATGTGTTCTGCCAATATTTTCCTTGTTCTCCACAAAATATCACAAAAGATTTTACTAATTATCTTAGTCAAGTCCAGCTGGTGTGACTTTACCAATTAATCAATAAATTTCTCCAACAAAGAAATAAATTGAGGCATGAGTTATAATTTGTGATTTGTGTGTGGGGGTGTCTACTGATTACTGCTCTGTTTTCTAAAATACTCCTTTAACTCAGGTAAGAATTTCCTTCGGGAACCTCATTGATCTGTATTTTGTATGATCTACTGTCTCAGTACAATTTTTAAATTAAAATTAGGAGGTGTTCATCTATAATCTCTGTGCATCAGAAATATCTGTCCAGCTCTCTTATTTGGAGATTCTCTAGAATTCCCTGCTTTCAGTGCCTCAGTTTAGGGAGGTTGCACCTGGCCGCTAAGTATTTGTGACAAATCAATGGGCTGCAATGCTATTAAAAAGTAGACACTTTATGGATACTCTGCTTAAGCTGGCAAGTTGCCCAGCTGACAACACTTACTCTAAACAATATTCTGACGCAGGTCATTTCATAAATGTGGAATGCAGTCAAGTCTAGTAAAATGCTGGCTAGTCTTGAGCAATCTCAGAATGCTTTCTTTTCTTTTCAAGTCGTTTCTACTTACAAAAAAGTTGCAAATATAGTTACTATCTATACATTTCTCCCAGCGTCTATACAATAAAACTATCAAAGTCATAAAATTAGCGTTGATACAATGCTGTTAACTAATTATAGACTTTTTCTTTCAGATTTCCTCAATTCTCTTACTATTTCCTTTTCTGCTGCCACATCCAATCCAGAATTCCATACTGTATTTAGTTTCCTAGGTTACTTAATCCTCTCCAATCTGAAAGGCTTTCTTTCATTGCCTTGACCCTTTCAAGAATATTTGGTAGTTGATTTTGTAGAATGTCCCTCAATTGAGCTTGCCCAGTGTTTTCTGATGATCATATTGTGGTTCTGCATTTTTGGCAGGGATACTGGGGAAGGGATGATGTGCCCTTCTCAGTGCATCACATAAGGCAGTGCGTACTGTGCATACGTCTCATGTCTCATGATGCTAACTTTAATCCCTTGTTCATGGTGATGTCTGACAGATTGCTCCACTGTATAGTTACTATTTTTTATTTTATAATTAATCAAGGTCTTCTGGAAAGATGAGACTATGTAAACATCTTTTTTATCACACTTTTCCCATAAATGGTAGCATCCATCAATGGTTCTTGTTTATTAAAATTTTTATCTGGTATTTGCCAAGTCATGATTTTCCATTTCCATCATTCCTTAGGAATACGTTTTAAAGATATACTTTTACAATATCAGTAGTCTTACTCGCCACTTACATTCTTAAACAAAGATAAAATGACTAATCATTTTCTGCAAAATAGAAATCAGAATTTTTAAATTTAATGACAAAATAGCAGTTTAATGCATGATATTATCTACTATATTACTCATGTACTTATAGATGATTCGCATGAATAATTCTTTTACAAATATAATGACAGAGTGAGGAAGGTTGAGGAAGGAAGAGGACCGCTTTTGTACCAATAACACACAGGAAAGGCACATATACAGCCCAATGTATTTATCTTTTTGCCTTGTATGCTAAGAATCTCTGATTAACTGCAATGATTTATACCCCTGTTTTATTTTTATTTATCCCTCTTTGTTGACATTTTCTTAATTGTCTGCATCTTATGGATTTACTCACATTAAAAAGTAATGCAACCCTCCTCAAAAAATTTTGTGGGGGGAGAAAGAGGTTGTGAATTGTAAATAAAAACTATAAAGAATAATTTGTTCAAAATGAACAATAGTATCTGAATAATTATTAGAGGAATTAATAAAAATCTATTTTGGGGGTAGTAGGAGGTCCTTAATATGTGGTGACAGGAGAAGATTTGACATTGGGTGGTGGGCACCTGGTGCAATATACAGACCTTATAACATAGAAACCCACACCTAAAACCTATATGTTCATGTTGACGAATGTCACCCCAATAAATTTAATAGAAACAAAAATACCTCTTTTTCCAGTTTCAGGAACTTTATTTTATTAACTAACTTAAGGATGTTTAAGTTCCAAAGAAGTAGTAGAGATTGACTAAAATCCAAAGAGGTGTTTATGTTTGTTTGTTTGTTTTTAATATAAGCAAAGTAAACAAAATAGTATAATGAACTCTCGGTATGCCTCCTTTGGCGTCATCAACTACACACATTCTACCAGGATAGGTTTTGTACATCCCCTTACATCCCACATCACCCCTTGCTATTTTTCCAGATAAACTTTACATATCTTGAAATGCCCACATCTTAATTGACAAAAGGATACACCCATGTAATCTCTATGCCTCTTAACTGACCAAAGAATACACCCATGTACTCACCCATGTAATATCCATACACCACTTTTTTTAGGTTAAAAAAAACAAACACTTTCATCACCTTTGAAAGTTCTTAGTGCTTTCGGAGTCACTCCACATCACTAGCCCCAGCTAACCATCCTCTCACTTTTCTCATGCTACAAAAATTTAGAACATCATAAAAGTGGAAACAAGCAATATGTATGCGTTTTTGAGCGGGTTCTTTTGCTCAGTATGGGTGTTTTGTAGTTCACTCCCTTTGATTGCTGACAAGTATACTACAATTTTTGTATTGATTCAAGTAAATGTTTTTTAAACAGAATGCTGGTGCACTCTTCTATAACACATGATCCAAATGGACTGCCCAGATAAGACACAGGGACTTCCTATGTGGTAGTTCTGCTCAGTAAGTCTCATTGCATATCCAAATAGTTCTTGATTATTATAGAACTAGAGGCCCAGTGCACAAAAATTTCTGAACTCGGGGGGGAGGGGGTCCCTCAGCCTGGCCTGTGCCCTCTCGCAGTCTGGGACCCCTCGGGGGATGTCCAACTGCTGACTTAGGCCTGCTCCCTAGGGGAACGGGCCTAAGCTGGCAGTCAGACATCCCTCTGGCACCCTGGGAGCCCTCAGGGGATGTCCACTTGCCAGCGGGGAGCAGGCCTAAGCTGCAGTTGGACATCATTAGCGCTACTAAGGAGGCAGGAGAAGCTCCAATCACCACTGCTGTGCTGGCAGCCATCAGCTGAGCAGAGCTCCCCCTGTGGGAGTGCACTGACCACCAGGGGGCAGTTCCTGCATTGAGCGTCTGCCCCCTGGTCCTCAGTGTGTGTCATAGTGACCAGTCATTCCCAGTTGTTCTGCTGTTAGGGTCAGTTTGCATATTACCCTTTTATTATATAGGATTAGAGCAAAGAGTAAAAGTTTTTAAATAAATTTTGCTCATATTACACACAAAAAGAATGTCTTATTTTTTAACAAAAACAAGTCTTTAGCTTCAGTTTGCCTATTATCTTTTCTGAGCTTTATTTTATTCAAAATTAAGAAAGAGGAATATCTATACCTGTATCTATATCTGCAGCCTACAGATAGTTAGGAAGGAAATGCAAAACCTCAAGCTCCACCCCAGATTGATATAGAAACTTTGAGGGAGAGGCCCACCTTCTTCGTCCTAACAGACCCTCCAGTAAATTCTGATACAACTGAGCTTTGAGAACCACTAAACTTCAGAAATACATTCTTTATCTACCACTGGGGCTACTTACGTAAACTTTGTGATCTCATCTTCTATTGCTGCGTTTAATTTTGTCGTTTCCACCTCAATCAGGACTTAGAAACGTGTGTTTTGGATCCTCAACCCAATTTTTGTGCTTAGTGGGCTCTCAGTAAATATTTGTTGAGTGAATAACTTGTTCTGTTAACATGGCTAATTTTCTTCGATTATTCTTATCCTGGGCTATACCCTGATTTTAATGAACCTCATTAAAACTCATTTTTAAAAAAGTTTGTATAAGCACTTACACATGATAGGTTTGTTGGCAAAATATATGATTTTTCTTTTCTCCTGAAAGGCTCCTCTCAATTCTCTCTCATCTTTTCTGCCAAACGAA